CACTAGACTTGATATCTTTATTTTGTGTTTTACTAGGTGGTAGTTCCATACAGGTGCTGCATACTCGAGAATAAGTTGCACGTATGAGGTATAGTGAGACTTGAATGAGTTTTTGTCAAGGTTCCTGAATATGACTCTTATATTGCAAGCTTTGTATGTGCTGCTGATTTTATATTTATCTATACTTTGGGAAACAGGTTTGGGCCAGTGAATTTTCCAAGGTCTTTAGTTTCATAACCTTCTGTGAGCATGTTTTTCCTCTATTCCCAGGTGGTACTCAGGTTTTTCCCTTCTTTCCTCCTATCCTATTTGGTTTGTATTCCCATAATTTTAAAACATCTGCAAAAACAAGGTTGTGTATTAGTTTATTCTGCTTTTGAGTCATTAATATACACTAGGAACAGAGTGGGCCCAACACTGATCTTGTAAGAATCCAATAAGTATACTTTCCTTTTCTGATATTTCATCCCTTATAAGTTTATTTTCTGTTAAACTAATCTGTTAATTATGCTGATAGCCTTCCTGTTACTGTGACACCATATCAAAGACTTTTCTGCAGTCTTGGAAAATGCAGTTTGCCCATCTCTCTCTCCTTTCCTTATGGGTGCATGTGTATGGATGCTGGGAGTCATGGGTGGGTTGGGGGGTCATAAGTATTGGTAGGAGTTGTTGTGGATGGTGATGGGAACAGAGTTATGGTGTGTGTGTGTGTGGGGGGGGGGATGCTGGGAGTCATGGGTGCGATGGGGTCATAAGTATTGGTAGGAGTTGCATGTATTATCCAGACTTTGTTAGCACAGTTGGTGTTAACATTTTGGATGGGTCAGCTATTTAAATTTTGTTTAGCATCATCATTACCAAAGAATGTGTATGTGTATTTTGTTGGGTCAAAGTATTTAAAGTCATCACTTAAGAAGCTTCAGACCAGAGTGGCTGAAGCAGCAGTAATTTTTTTTCCAAATTTCTCCTATATACTGTATCCTAATACAGTATTAATTTTAAACCAAAGTAATGAACACAGTAGAATACTATTCTAGGAAGGTGTTTTGATGCTGGGAGAGGGATCTTGGTTCAGGGGATGGCAGCTGCTGCTGCTCTCCTTCCTCACATCAAACCTGATTACCATCCATTCCCCAGAAACTCTATGACCCTTGTGGGTTTAGCACTCCTTCATAAATAAATAATCCTAAAATGTTAAACCTCCTGAATATTTCACTCCTGTATATAATAAAAATAATAAAATGGAGTAAAATATTTTAAATTCAAGATTAGATTTAAAAGAAAAGTAAATGGGCTGTTGTGCATATTATAAATAATAACGTAAAAAGGATTTCTTACGGTTTTGAAATTTTCTTCCAAATTTAATTTTCCTTGAAAATGTTGAAAGGATTGAATATAGGTGTGTAGAACCTGTAATTATCTTAATGGTGATCTCTGTAGCTATATATATATTTGTTAGACCTATATTATTTACAGTAAATTAAATATTGCATGTGCATTCAAACCAGTAAGATAATGTTCTGATAGATATATTTTGGACTAAGGTAAGTTTTCCTTAAGTTCTTTTTATCCTTTTTTTACTATATCTTTTTGTTGTGTGACTATGATTACTGCAGGTTTATGTAGTAATGTATAGGTAGTATTTTAAGCAATTTATTGACATGCTGAAAATTTTTTCATTTATTATTGTATGTATGTACTTAGCTAATATTATTCGGCTAATTGTATTTCTGGGGAAGAAGCTGTGGCTCCCAGGCTTTCTTGACCATTTATTGAATAGTATGATGGCTTCCCAAACACTGTGGGTCTTGTCGTAATTGACACAGTAGAGGTGTACTAATATGAGGTCTCAAAAATAGACTGCAAACTCAGATAGGTAATTAAATAGGCAATTACTTGAGCCTCTTCTCTTCTAGTGCCTTTCAACCCTTTTCTACTTTCACTAAAAAAAAATCTTATATCTGGCATGTTAGAGAATTCATTTCCATGTATTGTCTTGGTGCTGCTACTCTTGATCAGTGTGTTGTCATCCAGTTTGTTGATTCCTTGGAGTATTTGGTATTTTGTAAGTGCAGTATGGCCCCCATAGGCTTCTTTTTGAACAAGGGGCTAGTAACCCCTTCTGTATAAATTACTAAACGTAAAAAGAAAAACTATAAAAAGAAAAACTTTTGTTTTTCTTTTTGGGTCACCCTGCCTTGGTGGGAGATGGCCAGTGCGCTAAAAAAAGTGTGATAATGTAGTTCATTCTTTTATCCACTCCTGGCCTCTTGATATAATGTGAGTGCTCTCTGCCCCAGGCCCAATTATCATGCCTTAAATATTCTTTGGAAAGTGTCTAGATTCAAGCATCATCCCACACAATCTAAAAACCAATGATACAATACAGCTCAATTGACAAAGATGGCAGTAAAAGAATTGCAAATAAAGTCATAAAACAATAGTATTGACCTCTCACATTATCAAAATCTTTTAAAGGGGCACTGAGAAAGGATATTGATCCAAGGAGAGGGAGCTATTCTCTCTTAGATCAGACATGACCTTACTTCCAGGTACTGCATGACCTTTATAGATTCAGTGCTTCATACTGAATGTAATATTACAAGAAAGTCAACTTTGATCTCTTTTTATAGCACTGGAGTGAAATATTAAAGTATCAAAATAAATGAATCAGAATAAATAAGTTACAATGAAGCATATGTATTTATTTTTACTGCATTTTTTGTGATTTTGAAATGTTCTTCATTTTATATACAGGCATTCTTGACAAAAAGACAGCATATTCTCAGAGATGGGGCTTATATATAGGACTGATGATACATGAGGTGGAGCAGTGGTAGGCAGTCATAAATTGATAAATTGAATGTATCGTAAATTGTACTACCTCATTATTAACAGAGTGAAGTATAAAATACTATTTGTATTCTACCACTGTAAAAGAACTTAATTATGTACTTAAAAATGTAAGATTGTATCATAAATTGTGCTATCTCACATTAACAATAGAGTGAATATTGACTATTGGTATTCTACCACTCTTCACCTGTCTAGACTTAAGTAGTCCATGATAAAGTCTCCCTGAAATGCCTCGACATGATAGTGTCTTTCTTTGCTCCAGTCATATTATGATATGTAAACACACGTTGTAACCTTAGCAAAGAAATACAGTGGACCCCCGACTTACGATATTAATCCGTTCAGGAGAGCACATTGTAAGACGAGATTATTGTAAGTCGAATTAATTTTCCCCATAAGAAATAATGGAAATCAAATTAATCCGTTCAAGACACCCAAAAGTTTGAATTTTTTTTTTTACCACATGAAATATGCATTTTCCTACACACAAAAAGGAGGATACATGCATAATGTATATTGTGCATGTACTAGTGTACTAAATGAAGAATAAATGACACCTTTATTGAAGATATGGTGATTAGTGATGAGACAGTGTCCTGGGAGTGCCTTTTCCTCCCGAGTAATGTAGGTCCTGTTTGGCATTTTCTTCCAGAACAGGCTTTATCACACTGTGTATGCCACTACGATTCTTAAATCTCTCAAACGAACCTTTGCTGGCCTTAAATTCACCAATATGAGCAATAGTTCCAGGCATTTTTTCCTGTTCACCTGGGTGCTAGTCGACTGGTGTGGGTCGCATCCTGGGGACAAGATTAAGGATGCTAATGGAAATAAGTTAGACAGTCCTCGATGACACACTGACTTTTTTGGGTTATCCTGGGTGTCTAACCCTCTTGAGGTTAATTGTTTCTCGGTATTCTTGATAAGCCACACCAACAACAATCTCTCCACATCTTCGAGTAGTACAGCTGACTGTGGTACAGCAACAGCAGCAGCTGACCATGGTACGATAGTATTTCAATAGTATATCTCCCCCTTTTTACCACAGGGCTGGCACTTGAAGCTTTCTTTGGGCCCATGGTGGCTTATTTAGCAGTTACAAGCACTAAAAACACTGGAATAATACAAAATTTATTGATTGTATGCATGCAACCATCTGCCCTGGCTTGTAAATAATGTCACACTAGGTCAGCTGAGGTGCTTAGGCCAGATGGACCAGACGGCCGCATTCGGGACGAATGATGTAAGTTGAGTTTTTCAACATAGGTTGGGGTCAAATTTTTACGCTGACAAGCATCGCAAGTCAGTTTTATCGTAGGTTGAGGCCATCGCAAGTCGGGGGTCCACTGTAAATATTTTTTTTATTTACTTTTTAAGACCACTAGTGGAAGTAGGTTGTACCTATAGGTTAGACCTATAAACATGACCTACTTTCACCTGTTGTCTTCTCCGCTGGTGACTCCACCTACTACTGCCCCACCTCATCTGTCATCAGTATATAAGCCCAGAGGCTTTTATTTGTGGTTATCATCCTAATTTTATGTTAGCTAGAATAATTTTAGTTTTTAGTGCCTTAGGGCACCAGTTCTTACTATCATTATATTGCCTTTTTTTTTTCTCTTACCTCATTTTTTCATGTGTCTCAGTCTTCAAGACACCTTGATGCAGTCAGGTGCTATTGATCCAAAGAATTTGAAATACCATCCCTTTTCTTGTGTCGAACCTGATTGCCTCCCATTCCCCAAGGTGATGCATGACCCATGTGGGCTTAGCACTCTCCCCCCGTGAAATAAAAGGTATCATGTCCCCATACTTCTACTACTTTGCTTATGTTATGGTTGTTGTATGTCAGGTTGTATCTTGTAGCAAAGTGAATCTTTCTTATTAAAGAATCTTCTGATAATAAGCTCTTTTTAGGACTTAAAATTGATTAAATATAAATTTCTGGTCCTGCTGTATGTCTTTCATATTCATTACAAATCATATCTTAAAGCCTTTTGTAGTATTTTTTAAATTATAAGAATCTTAAAAATTACATGTTAGCATTAAATATCAGTGATTAGTATAACTTTTATTCATAATCACTGTGATGATATTTTCATTAATAATTGTGATAATTTCCTTGCCTCCTGATAACATGGCAGAAGATGGAAAAATTCCTCCTGCTATGATATCCACACTGAAGAAACTCAAGAGCGGCTACATTAATGGTACACGGTAAGACAATTTGTAGTTTATCTTTTACAAGCTTGTCTGTTTCCCCACCAAGAAAAACAGTATTTATGAATTATTATAATTATTATTATTATAATTATTATTATTTTTAACCGATTGACTGTCGGTGTCGTATATACACCTACCATCCGACTTAGGACCTGCTCGACTTACGACCACTCGACTTACGACCGTGTTTTTTATGCCAAATTTCTGGGAAATAAACAACTATTTGTGTTGTGCACAGTGTTTATCCTAAACCTTACAGTATAAAATGCAGTACTTACAGCATAAAAAGTAAAGTAAAGCATGAAATACCAAAATAAAACAATAAAATAAAGTCATTACAAAAATGTTTTGGTGATATTCAGTAGTAAAGTTCGACTTAAGACCATTTCGACTTACGACCGGTTTCTCGGAACTGAACTCGGTCGTAAGTCGGATGGTAGGTGTATATGTCTTACAAGCCATTGTTTATTAAAGACATATTAATACGCCAAAATTCCAGTGGCTCCAAATCAAGCGGGAGAAAGCTGTTAGGCCCACATGTGAGAGAATGGATCTGTGTGGTCAGTGTGCACAATATAAAAGAAATCCTGCAGCACGCAGTGCATAATGAGAAAAAAAGCTCCGACCATGTTTTTGGATTACTATCCCGACTTTGAGGTGTATTTTCGTATAGTATTTATGGTTGTATTCTCGTTTTCTGGTCTCATTTGATACAATGGAAGACATATTACAGAAATAGAGATGATTTGATTGATTTCACAATGAAAAGGACCTTGAAATTGAGCTCAAAGTAGCGGAAATGTTCGATTTCGCTTTTGGTGTTCAAGAGTAAACATTGTCCAATAAATGTCCAACTAGCCATTCTGATATGCAATCACAAATGGGTTGACATTATTTATACAATTACAATGATGCAGTAGTCTGCATAACAGTAAGTCTTCTATTTTTTGTGTGAACAGTTCAAAATAGAAAGCAAGAGAGGGGCCTGGAGACGTGACTAATGAACAGAGAAAATGTTATTTTAGTGCCAGGAATGTCTGCAGTGTTTATTTTGGACCCTGTTTTGAAATTGGCATCTTTTTTAATGTGTGAAATTGGCCAAATTGCCAATTTCTGACCACTTTATTGGGTAGTTGAAATTGGTAAATGGGCAGTTTCTTGTACTCAATCAATAGAACAAATGGAGTTCTAAAGAAATAGCTATGAGTTTGGTTGACTGGAACAAAGGAATTGGACAAAAATAGGGCTCAAAGTGAGTGAAATTGCCAATGCGTAAATATTGCCAAGACCGCTAACTTTGCGAGAGCGTAATTCCATAAGTTTTCCATCAAATTTCGTACTTTTGGTGTCGTTACCATCAGGAAAAGATTCTCTATCATTTCATAAGAAACAATATTTCTTTTTTTTTTTTTTCGAATATTTTGCAACACAAAGATACTTCAGGATTTGGGGTCTTGACAGTCAGAGGTTAACTGGCTGTCTCCCAGCAAGGTAGGGTGACGTGAAAGAAACATTTTTGTCATCATTTACACTTATCATTGTCTTACCTGAGGTTCACAGATATGATAGTTCAGATGTCTTTCCAAACAGCAAATATCTCTACCCCTCTCCTTTAGAGTGCAGGCACTGATTTTCCCACCTCCAGGACTCAAGTTCAGCTAACTGGTTTCCCTGAATTCCTTCACAAAATGATAAATTACTGACGCTTCAATAGCTCGTCAGGTCCCAAAAGCCATTTGTCTTCACTTGATCCTATCTAACACAACATGCTCTCACATGCCTGCTGTATGTTCAAGCCCCTTTTGCACAAAACGTCCTTTACCCCCTCCCTCCAACCTTGCCTAGGATAACCTCTACCCTACATTCCTTTCACTATAAGTAGATTTATACACCCTTCTATTCATTCTATTTTACTCCATCCTCTAAATGATCAAACTTCCTCAACAACCCTTCCTCAGCCCTGTAGATAACACTTTTAGTAACTCCACACCACCTAATCTCCAAATTACGAATTCTCTGCATATTTATATCACACGGTGCCCTCAGAGGAGTCATCCCCACTGCCTCCAACCTCCTCCTCACTGCACCATTCACAACCCATGCCTCACACCCATTTTTTTTTTAGTTTTTTAACAGGTCGGCTGTCTCCCACCGAGGCAGGGTGACCCAAAAAGAAAGAAAATCCCCATATTATTATTATTATTATTATTATTTTATTATTATTATTATTATTATTATTATTATTATTATTATTATTATTATTACTTAGAAGTTCATTATCCCTTACAGAGTGTCACTGGGTAAGATGCAGGAGTTCCTGAACACATCATGTATTACCAGCCTTAACTTCCTCAATGACACTGAGGGTGGATTTCCTGACAGTGAGTAGCACAAACCTTAGTAATGGATACCAACAAGTGGTAAAACACCTGTTAGCAAACACTAGGGCATATTTATTAGAAAATGTTTCGGTCCAGGGACCTTGGTCAGGGTGCCTGGAATGGAACATTCCCTGATATGTCTTAGTGTTTGCCCATATGTCAGTTTTCAGACAGTGAATAGCTAGTTTTTGTGTAATTGTGTTTGGGGTCTAGCCAATTGACAGTGTCTACAAATCTGCTTGTTCTGTGTACAAGTATTAGTAAGATTGAAGATGCTTACTTCCCATCCCCAGGCAATGTTCGATCCATATGAATTTAGCATTTACCCATGAGAGTAAGAATATTAACCCTTTGACTGTTTCGGTCATATGTATACGTCTTACGAGCCAATGTGTTTAACGTATATATACTCAAAAATTCTAGTGGCTTCAAATCAAGCGGGAGAAAGCTGGTAGGCCCACATGTGAGAGAATGGGTCTGTGTGGTCAATGTGTGCAGTATAAAAAAAATCCTGCAGCAAACAGTGCATAATGAGATAAAAAACTCTGACCGTGTTTTTGGATTAAAATGCCGAATATGAGGTGTATTTTCATATACTTTTTATGGTTATGTTCTCGTTTTCATAGTCACATTTGATAGAATGGAAAACATATCATAGAAATGGAGGTGATTTTGATTGGTTTTTACTATAAAAACGACCTTGAAATGGAGCTCAAAGTAGGGGAAATGTTTGACTTTTGCCTTGCCGATGTTCAAGAGTAAACAAGTGATGTCATTGTCCAATAAATGTCCAACTAGCCATTCTGATATGCAGTCATGAATGGGTTGACATTATTTATACAATTATTACAATATTGCAGTAGTCTGCGTAACAGTAAATCTTCTATTTTTTGTTTGAATAAAAATTCAAAATAGAAAGCAAGAGTAATATCAGAGGGGCCTGGAGACGTGACTGATGAACAAAGCAAATGTTACTTTAGAGCCAGGAATGTCTGCATTGTTCATTCTCGACCCTATTTTGAAATTGGCATATTTTTTAATTTGCGTGAAATTGCCAAATTCTGACCACTTTATTGGATAGTTGAAATTAGAGTTCTAAAAAAATAGCTATGAGTCTGGTCAACTTGAACAATGGAATTAGCCAAAAATAGGGCTCAAAGTGGGTGAAATTGCTGATTCGTAAATATTGCCGTGGTCGCTAACTTCGCGAGAGCGTAATTCCATAAGTTTTCCATCAAATTTCATACTTTTGGTGTCATTACCATCGGGAAAAGATTCTGTCATTTCATAAGAATTTTCTATTTTCCAAATATTTTGCGACCCCAGGAGACACCTCAGGATTTGGGGTTGCGACAGTTAAAGGGTTAATTGTTAGCTCCTATTCCTGAAGTGCTCTATTACCTTTGGGGGTTAATACTTCTCTATACAGTAGTCCCCCTGTATCCACAGAGGATATGTTCCAAGATTTACAGTGGATATTCAAGACCGTGGATAGCGAACCCTACATATAAGTCGTTTTTCATTTACATACCTGTGATAAAGTTTAATTGAAAAATTATACACCGGTGGAGAATTATGACTTTTTCACTAATGGGAGCACTTCACAGCTTCTCTTAGGCTTTAAACAACTGCAATCATAACCATTTTTGTGCTTTGTGATCATTATTAAGCAAAATTAAGGCTTTTGGACCATGATAAACCACAGATAACTGAAACCACGGAAACCGAATCTGTGGATACGGTTGGTCTACTGTACATGTAATGATAATAATATAAATAAAAGTAAAAAAGGCCAGTGTTATTAGCACCTTTTTATTTCAGAGAGTAAATAAATTAAGGTGAAACTTACCGTACTTTTCTTTACCATTATAATTCTATTTAGCGGTTAATTACGACCTAGGAATTTAAAAGTTATCCCCTGAAATTAATAAAAGGTAATAAAAACTTGCATCTGTGTTGTAGGGTCGGTTCCAGGACTTGCACAACACTTGACATTATGTTCATCAGTACGACCTTGTAGATCAAAGCATTTTGTGGATCTACCAACTTTTGTCTTTTGAGTCCATGATCTGTTCACATCTTGAAACTTATTGTCTGTGTAATCAGAAGCCAGTAAGTCAAATTGAATCAGATATTGCAAAATGCTATGAAGTTTTATAATTTCTAGGTATGGATTGAATTAAGACTATTGAAAGCAGTTTGAGATAATGTTTTTCAAAGTTTAAAGCACTCAGAAAGCAAATGCATAGATATTTTGTTTTTGTGAATTCCTGCAAAAAATTTGCCTCTCATATCTTTAAAAGACACTGAATAATGTCCCATTAATTGTTTTGAATATGTAGTAGTTATGCCATTCATACAGTGATATTATTCCCTACTCATTTACCCTCTGATTTTAACACCAGTAGGAGGCTGCCCCTTTTATGGATAGTGAATTACCCATACCTCATTTTACCTCTGGCAATATACACAGTAAAACCACGATTTAATGGATTCTCTTGTATACATAATGCAGCTGGAACTGACGGGATCATGACAGAAATGTTAAAAGCAGGGGATGATGTAGTGTTGGAGTGGTTGGTATTTTTGTTTAATAAATGTATGAAAATTATTTAGGTAAAGAAAAATTGGATATCACATTGGGGAGGAGGAGTATGGAAGAAGTGAATGTTTTCAGATACTTGGGAGTTGATGTGTCGGTGGATGGATTTATGAAGGATGAGGTAAATCACAGAATTGATGAGGAAAAAAAGGTGAGTGGTGTGTTGGGGTATATGTGGAGCCAAAAAACGTTATCTATGGAGGAAAAGAAGGGAACATATGAAAGTATTGTAGTATCAACACTCTTATATGGTTGTGAAGCTTGGGTTGTGAATGCAGCAGCGAGGAGGCGGTTGGAGGCAGTGGAGATGTCCTGTCTAAGGGCAATGTGTGGTGTAAATATTATGCAGAAAATTAGGAGTGTGGAAATTAGAAGGTGTGGAGTTAATAAAAGTATTAATCAGAGGACTGAAGAGGGGTTGTTGAGGTGGTTTGGTCATTTAGAGAGAATGGATCAAAGTAGAATGACATGGAGAGCATTTAAATGTATAGCAGAAGGAAGGCGGGGTAGGGGTCGTCCTCGAAAAGGCTGGAAGGAAGGGGTAAGGGAGGTTTTATGGGCGAGGGGCTTGGATTTCCAGCAGGCGTGCATGAGTGTGTTCGATAGGAGTGAATGGAGACGAATGGTATTTGGGACCTGACGATCCGTTGGAGTGTGAGCAGGGTAATATTTAGTGAAGGGATTCAGGGAAACCGGTTATTTTTATATAGCCAGACTTGAGTCCTGGAAATGGGAAGTACAATGTCTGCACCCTATAGGAGGAGTTTTGGGATATTAGCAGTTTGGAGGGATATGTTGTGTATCTTTATACGTGTATGCTTCTAAACTGTTGTGTTCTGAGCACCTCTGTAAAAACAGTGATTATGTTTGTGTGAGGTGAAAGTGTTGAATGGTGATGAAAGTATTTTCTTTTTGGGGATTTTCTTTATTTTTGGGTCACCCTGCCTTGGTGGGAGATGGCCGACTTGTTAAAAAAAAACAAAATTTAATGCACCAACTGTCTCCCACTGAGATAGGGCGAATCAAAAAAATTAAATGAATTTACCATCTCTCATTCATTAGCTGTCCTGGGAGAATTTGCACACATCAAAATTCAAATGACCCTCTGAACTGCAACATCTCATCCCCTCCTTCACAGTGCAGACACTGTACTTCCCACCTCCAGAACTGCAACATCCCATCCCCTCCTTCAGAGTGCAGGTACTGTACTTCCCACCTCCAGAGCTGCAACATGCCAACCCCTCCTTCAGAGTGCAGGCACTGTACTTCCCACCTCCAGAACTGCAACATCCCAACCCTTCCTTCAGAGTGCAGGTACTGTACTTCCACCTCCAGAGCTGCAGTATGCCATCCCCTCCTTCAGAGTGCAGGCACTGTACTTCCCACATCCAGAATTGCAAAATCCCAACCCCTCCTTCAGAGTGTAGGCACTGTGCATCCCACCTCCAGAACTGCAACATGCCAACCCCTCCTTGAGAGTGCAAGCACTGTACTTCCCATCTCCAGAATTGCAACATCCCAATCCTTTCATCAGAGTGCAGGCACTGTACTTTCCACCTCCAGAATTACAACATCCAACCCCTCCTTCAGAGTGCAGGCATTGTACTTCCCTCCTCCAGAATTACAACATGCCAACCCCTCCTTCAGAGTGCAAGCACTGTACTTCCCTTTTCCAGAATTACAACATTCCAACCCCTCCTTCAGAGTGCAAGCACTGTATTTCTCTCCTCCAGAATTACAACATTCCAACCCCTCCTTCAGAGTGCAAGCACTGTACTTCTCTCCTCCAGAATTACAACATCCCAACTCCTCCTCCAGAGTGCAAGCACTGTACTTCCCATCTCCAGATACAGTACTGTAATAAATATTGAAATTGAAGCAGTTAAAAGTACAGTAAAATATAGTAAATCCTGAATTTAACAAACTGATAGGAAGGAGCGGGTGATTGGTGATTGTAGTGGATGCAGATAAGATTGTTTTATATAATTGTAACAATAATGGACAATTTTTAAATTGACAGTCTGTACTTTGTTTTTTATTGAAAATCACTTTGCTGAATGGATTTTGTCCATTAATTGTAGAACTTGTTTAATTGAGGTTTTACTATTTAGCCAAAAGGGTTAAGCATCATATAAGAGAACTCTGATGTATGAACACAAAGATTCACAACTATTCCACAATTCATAGAGGAAACTTGCAACAACTTTTCAGTCTATTATGGACCTGTAGCAAGTAGTGATTTGTATGATATCCAACATTAGGATAATATACAGAGAATTCTTAGTTGGCACTTGATTTAAAGTCTTTGCTTATTTGTGGAGAAAGACTCTTGTGTGTGTTTCCACATCTTGTCAGTATCACCATACCATTTCCTCTTTGCTTATTTATTAAGTGTATGCTGTACATTATGTATTATTACTTATGGAATGCGGTACAATTCATCATTCATATCTTTGCTTTCTATGAATTTTGTATATATGAATTTTCTTAACTGATGCCCATCTTGCAGGCCTCAAAGCAGAAGTAAAGGATTATCTAGAGAAACAAATGAGGGGGTCACTGTCCTGGAGAAGAGCTGACCTTGTGCGTATGTCAAACAGGTAAGTCATTGTTGCTATTGTTATTAGATGAAGTCTTGCCTAGGCAACTTTTTTGTAGAGGTGACAACAGTTTTGAAGTGTAGATATTACTTTTGTAGTGGTGATAGTAATTTACTTAGTGGAAAAGACCTTATACAGTGGACCCCCGCATAACGATCACCTCCGAATGCGACCAATTATGTAAGTGTATTTATGTAAGTGCGTTTGTACGTGTATGTTTGGGGGTCTGAAATGGACTAATCTACTTCACAATATTCCTTATGGGAACAAATTCGGTCAGTACTGGCACCTGAACATACTTCTGGAGTGAAAAAATATCGTTAACCGGGGGTCCACTGTATAATGAAGGATTTGGGTTTTGAGTGTGCATATAATTTGTTTACTGATTAGATAAGACTTACTGATCAGAAATCAAGTAAGCTTACGCATGCTAATGTATGTACTGTATTTTCCAGCATATGAGTCACTCTTGTTTTCCCACAAAAAAACCTTGGAAAATCAGCCTTTACGGTATATGCTCAAGGTCAGGGTCAAGGGTAGGCTTTGGGTTAGGCTTTAGCAGTTGTTTACTAATGTTAAGTTACAACTGCTTGGAAACATTGTTTTATGTACTTATGCGTCTTACATGCCGGAAAATACAGTGTGTGTGTGGGGGTGGGGGTGTGTACACATGTACATGTACACACCCATATGTACTCACTTATACATTGATGCAGGGATCGAGTCACAGCTCCTGGCTCTGCCTTTTTGCTGTTTGGGTGGGTATGGATGTGGGTTGCAAGCCTAACCTTCTTAAAGACTGAGATATCTTCACATAATGCACTATTAAACAAAATGCACTTCTAGACTTTCATTATATAAGTGGAGGTGTTTTCTTAGAAAAAGACATTATCAGTATACTTTTCCAATTACCATCTAATTTTTACAGTAGCATTCTTCATATACCAGTAATGAATGTATGAAGAATGAACAGCATTGCATAATACATACTTAGGGAAAGATAAAGAAACCCCTCCAACTATTGGAATTTTTTTGACAGGTCAACTTCAGGGAAAATAATGTGGTGTGCCAGTTACATGTATGGCAGAATTATAACAGAGCCAGTAGCTGTCTGCTTTAGATTTCATTTAATTTTGACCTTCAAATACATGGTAGGACTAAAAAGTTGGCAGTGGTTTCTGCTCTCAAAGGGAAAGTTAGTCGCATGGGCTTCCTACTAGCAGTCTGAGGACAATATTTGACAAAGAACTCTAGATGAACTTCACTGACCTAAGACAGTGAGAGTAATGTCAGTCAGTCCCTTTACCATCATATACAACAAAATACCAGATAATATAAACATAACCATATGTAATCTTTGTCAATATTATTATTATTATGATGTTTGTAGCACACCAGCCATCTTGCACTTGTATAGGGTGACCCAAAAAGAATCACTTTCACCCTCATTCATTGCCTGCTCAGAAGCATGGTGAAATCTTGGGTCAGATGAACTTCCAAACTTTATCCACATACCTCTAGAGTGCAGGCACTTTACTTCCCACGTAAAGAACTCAGATCTGGCTAACAAGTTTCAGTGAATCCCTTCATGATGATTATCTTGCTCACACTCCAACAGCATGTTAAATTATTACTGCTTGCCTTCACTCACTCCTGTCTAACACACAGGAGCCTGTTGGATATCCAGACTCTTAGCACTCAACACCTTTTTTTTTTTCTCAACAAGTAGGCCATCTCCCACCAAGGCAGGGTATGGCACAATACAGTACAATACAATTTTTATTTCCTTGCAAGTTTACATTAAGATTATGTAATTACAATAATAATATTAGCAGTTTGGAGGGATATGTTGTGTATCTTTATATGTATATACTTCTAAACTGTTGTATTCTGAGCACCTCTGCAAAAACAGTGATTATGTGTGAGTGTGGTGAAAATGTACAATGCCTGCACTTTAAAGGAGGGGTTTGGGATATTGGCAGTTTGGAGGGATATGTTGTGTATCTTTATATGTGTATGCTTCTAGACTGTTGTATTCTGAGCACCTCTGCAAAAACAGTGAAATTTCGAGTGTGGTGAAAGTGTTGAATATGATGAAAGTTTTTTTTTGGGGGGGTTTTTTTTTTTTTTTTGGGGGTCCCCGCCGGGGGAGATGGCCGACTTGTTGAAAAAAAAAAAAAAAGGGGTGAAAATGTTGAATGATGATAAAAGTATTTTTTTTTGGGGGATTTTCTTTTTTTTTGGGTCACCTGCCCGTGGGAATGGTGACTTTTTTTAAAAAAAAAATTAAACAATAATGATTGCAGTAAAAAGAGAGCCACTTCAGCCAGGGCATTAGGGCAACTAAATATAATGGTTTACGTATTAAATACTTGAGAATTGATCATAGCTTTTTAAGTTACATCGTTTTTTTTAGCAGACAGTAATTTACTCCAATACAAACGGGGGATATTACTTGGGAAAAGTTGAAAATATTTTGTAGGTTGTTTATATCAATAAAAAAATTTTAAAGTATTTTACGGGAATATAACATGTGCATTGTTGAAAGTTTTTACAGTTTGGAATGAAAATTTGGGGAAAGGCAGTTTTGTTTTGGGCAGGTATTTAACTACGGGCAGTATTAAGAAATGAATAACTTTGGGCATCTAATTTTTGTTTTTTTAAGATTTAGGTAATTGGGAGATTTTTGGAAAATTAAGTTTTGGGTTGCATTTTAAATTTTGGTGAGTAGGGGTATTTGGAAAGCAAAAATTTGATTTTCAGCCCAGGTTATTTGGGTTTTTTACTGGTAATGAATTCTAAATTTGGGCCCCTTTTGTCATTTTTTTACACAGGGATTGACTGGGGCCCTCAAAGGTGACTGTGTCTTGTATTATGGGGGTTTTCCCCTAAGGTTGGTGAGGTTTGGTGGGGGGTTTATGTTTGAGTTAGTGTTCTTGTTTGTAGTAGCACAAAAATAAGTATGGATTTTCTTTATGGTGAGTAGTTTTAACATTTGAATATTGGTGGAGTATGCGTCTGTGTGGGAATTTGTTATCTTTTCTGACTGCAGCCTTTTGCGGGGTTATTAGGGTCTTAAGTGTTAAAATTTTGTTGACCCCCAGCAAAAATTTCCCTAGGTGAAAAAGGGGTAGATGATAAATGAACTGCAAGGAAGCTGTTTGTGGAACATAGTACCATATCTTTGATAGTACCTACTGTTTTTTTAGATTTTCTTGGAAATTGTTGTATATTTCTGGAATTGGGTTACGTCAAGGGGATTCCGGGAATTTTCCCTCTGATCTTGTAGGGGTGACCCCTTTTTATTTAAGTGGAACTTTGTTGCCGCCAACGAATAAATAGATTTTGTCAGTTTGAGAGTAAGTTTGTTATTTCCACCCCGTGATATTTTCTCAATTCAGCATTAGCATGTTCCAGTTTTTCGGGGTTTGGGGTGAGAGAAGACTAGTGTTCATCTGAAAGTAATAGGGGTTTGATAGTTTTGATGCATTCGGGTCTTGATGTAATGAGAAAGAGGAGGGGCCAAGGACACTTCCTTGTGGGCCCTGATGTAATTGTTGTGGGGAAGATTAGCCCCATTTGTGTATACATATTGGCTTCTTTACAAGGGGAAGACTTTAGGTATTTTGAGGGAGTGCTTTCTATCCATAGGTTTTAAATTTAAAATGTGCAGCAAATTAGGGTTGACTGTATCAAAAGTTTAAAAAAACCCCAATGAAACCCCCATTGGGATTCTTTCTTCCGAGAGTGTTAAATTTTAGTGTACACTTAATCTTCCCCGTAAAAAAAAGGGGGGCACAAAAAACTCCATTTTTTTTGTTAGCTTATTTTATTCCCAATCTTTAGCTTCTTGGTATTTGGTTAGTGAATTAAATAACCACAAGCAATTATAAATGAAAACTAAAAAGCAAAAAACCCCAATCTTAAGTTCAAATTCCTCATTAACAGAGTAGAAAAAATAATTTAAATTTAAAAAATTACTCTTTTAAAGGGTCTAGGTAACAAAATAGTTATTTTTTATAAGTACTGAATTCCCAGACTAAGGAAAAGGGCAAACTTTGTATAAAGTTTTAGTTTAAGCTGGGACTTTTGGGTTGAAACCCTACGAGTAGAGCAGGACTGACTGCTCACTCAACTACTTCATATCAGACTTCAGCTCTGCCAAAGGGCGACGCGTGGTTTTCAATTCTAGAACCACCAATTGGTCACTACGAAAGTGGTTTACACATTCGTAATACCTAACCTAAAAAAAATTTTTATAATATAATTTTATATTAAAAAACAGGGGGAAAGAAAAATACAATATATGCAAGAGAGTACTTTTGATTCTACGTCCCAATAAAAATAGTCAACCCTGCTTTATCTAGCTGTAATAAGGGGTTTGCGATATATTATTACAAAACTTATTTTAACCAGGCCTTTTATTTTTGTATAAATGGAGGCAGTAGGGGGCGTAACACCTCCCCCCTCGACTGACGTTGCCATTGATTTGTACTCTCTGTGGGGGGTACATCTTCATGAGCAGGGGTTTGAACATAGACAGCAGCCCCTAATCATCTCCAGTTTTCCCCCCACAACATAGATGGTCATAAAAGACCGACTCGTACTGTTAAAAATAAATGTATATTAAAAAAATTTTCAAGGCCTAAGGGGCTACAATGAGATTATGTTTTCCTTTTAAGGGGAAAATGGTAATAGGAAGGGTTAAATTCTCAAACCCCAACGAAGTTTTTCTGGCTTTTCTTCGTTTTCATAAATTTATGAAGGTCAAAGATTGGATGGGGATAAAACCGAATCTGAGGGGCGAAGATCCAAATAACATAAAAATTCTCTACAAACAAAAGGCAAAGGTTTCCCTTTTCTATAGTTTAATATTAAATTTTTGGTTTTTTCTTTAACTTAGAAAAAAAAAAACGGTTGAATAGGTCAAATTTTTGGGCCTTCGTAACAATGGGGCCCCCAAAGCATTCCCCGGGATCTATTTGTAAGGGGGAATGTTT